CAAGAACATAGGGCAATGTTCCCATAAATTATTATAATATTAAATATTTTTAATGTTTTTCTTTTAACTATTATTCAACAAAGTAAGAAAATGTAAAGAATTTTTCATAAAGCTAATTTTATTTTAAAATTATGCTCTTCCTACAACTCTAGTTATTAAATGTCCTTTACCTTTTGAGTTATAAGTGAAAGGGGACTTTTTAAAAAAAAAATCTTTCTTTTTCTTTTTTTATTGTATTTTTTTCCATTATTAGAAAATATCTTTATGCCTTCACTGGGTAGCTCAGTTGGTTAGACTGTCCTCCCAATATGTCAAGGTTCAATATGTGGGTTCAATCCGCAGTCAGGGCACATACAACAATCAACCAATGAATGCATAAATAAATGGATTGACACACTGATATTTCTTTCTCTTCCTTCCTCTCTCTCTCTAAAATCAATGAATTTTTTAAAAAATTTTAAAAATCTTTACTATAGGTCCTGGCCAGGTAACTTAGCTGGTTAGAGCACTGTCCCGATACACCAAGGGTGTGGGTTCAATCTTGGGTCAAAATAATATTAATTATATTATATAGTAAAATAATAAATTTAAAATAAATTCTAAATTTTTTCAAAATTCTTTGCTATAGAAAAATAACCATTGTCAACAGCTCGCCCTCTTCACCATTTTATCTTATTTTTTGTAATTTTACTTACCTATAAAATTCAAAGGTCTAAGACCAATTGATTTTGGGAACTACAATTAAATTATTTTTTAGAAACTAAACTGAATAAAGGAAGTGCAGATCAAAAGGAAAACAAGTCAGAAATATTTCTGAATTTCCCCAAAAGTCATCCACAAAATATCTCAAAGGCTTCAGGTCTCAGGAATACATGTTAATTGAACTGTTAAAAGCATTTCCCATTTGACATCTGCATTACTAATTACCCTCTTCCAATATGTGGATATTTTCTGCTTTTGAATGGGCCCTTAGTGACCTAGCTCAATCAACAAATATTCAGAGTCCCTAATTTATGCAAGGTGCTCTAAGTGGTGCCTGGGGACACAATCTGGAGAGTTCTCACCTTCACGTCTCAGGTCAAGGGTCACCAGCCACTTTGTAGATGCTATCCCTTACCGCAGGAAAGAAGAATAAAAGCCTCCCTTGGGGCTTTGCTCTCCTATCAAGACCTGCACACCTATCTATGTGTGATTATTTGTCTTTCTCCCTCACCTGGGCAAATTCTTCCAAAGCAAATATTACCTTATTCAATGCTATCTTCCTGGAACAGTACATAAATAGTTGGTGATCAAGATAAATTCATGGAATAGTTATATTTTACAGATGAGGAAATTAAAGGTCAGGAAAAAAATATGGCATGTCCAACATCATACAGCTAATAAGTAAGTAGTACCTGGTCTTAGCGAGAACTCTCACCAGAGCTCCCTTGTACTCCACTGCACTGCATCATACATGCACACAGGGTGAGAGAGAGCTCTTAGATGTCTTCTTCGAACTTCAAATTCAGCATGTTGAAAAGTCACTCTTTCTTGAAAAAAGCCAACAGAAATCTGGTCCCCATCCAGTGTTCTCATTCTCCATAAATGGCATCCCCAGTGGCTCAAGAAAAAACTCAAGTCACCTTGATTCTCTCTTCTCCCTATTCCCACATCCAATCAATCAGCAATCTTATCAAATTTAGTGTCTTCCTAATCTCTTCCCTTCTCTCCAAGCCCTCTGCCACCACCCCAGATCAAAGCTACCATCATCACCTACATAGACAAAAAATGACTACTTGGTTTTTACCCATTCAGTTTGGCCAGTTCTCTCCAATCTGTTCTCCACTTACAGCCACGGTGATGTTTTAAATATCTTTCTACATATGTAATTGATCTAGCTAATTAAAGGCCTCTACTAAGTTCCTATTGCTCTTAGGATAAAGGCCAAAATTCCCTGTGGCTCAGAACACTGCTCACCTCTCCAGCCTCATTCTTTTTCATTCAGGTCTCTTCCCCAGCATACTGACTGATCTGCTTTCAAATCCTCCTATTCACTACTTTTTCCTTTGTACTTTGAACATGCAGTTCCCTCTGTCAGAAACCCTCTTTGTGCCCCTCCTAGAACCTTTCATTGACATCCTAAAGTATTTGCATTCATTCAAGTCTCTGGAAATGTCACTCCTACAGGAAACTTTCCCTGACTCCCCAGACAAGGGGAGAGTACTGGTTACGCACTTCTATTCCACCTTGTAATACATTTCCCTTTGTAAAATTCACCACACTTGCAATAACTTGTCCAATGATTATCTTCTCTATTAGAATATAAATTCTATGAGGGCATGAGAAGCTTCTCTTTTCACTGATGTATCCATAGTCCTTAGAGCACAGTAGATGCTCAATTAAGATTTGTTGTCAGAATGACAGGCTGGGGCCAGAGTGTAGGAGGCTATGACATGAGGCCAGGTAAACCAAGGGGCAAGGATCATTATCCCTTTGCAAATATGTAAACTGAGACATCCCTGAATCGCGTCGTTATTCAAGGTCAGAGAGATAGCATTTCTCCTCCCTAAAACACTAAAAAGTGTGGTTGGAAGAGGGAGCATCTTAGGAAAAGAATGCTAGAAATGAGAAGGTAGTGATAAAGAGGTCTAGGATGACAGCTTCTGAATCTGATAGTCACACTAGTTGCCTCTGGGAAAGACTAACTGCCAGACAGACTTTCCATGCCTAAAGAAGCACTACTGTTAAATATAACTACCACCACACTCTTTCTCTTATGAGGAGGGTATAAAACAACAAACTACTTTTATCCACAATGAGAAGAAACCACAGGAAAGAAAGATTTTTTTGCTCAAATGTCCCCTTCTTTCCACCCTGAAAAAAAAAAGAGAGAGAGAGTTTTGCACCTGGATAGTGCTTCTCAGTAACCAAAAGAGAAGGGAAGGGGGAAAGACCACCATCCCACCACTTACTGGAGCAGAGATAAGAAAAATAAAAAGAGAACATTTTATGTAAAGCATTTAAAAACCTTGCTATCCCAATGGCGGTCCTTAACACAGGTAGCAATACAGTGGGCATGAGCTCTACTGCAACATTTCATTGTTCACATGCCTGGGGCCAAGTTATGTCTGTCACAGGAGCCACAAACCAGGCTAAGGGGTCAGGCTCATTGTTGCTCATCCTGCCAAGCACCAACTCCAAGATAAAAGGAAGACAAAGCTCCCTCAAAGAGAATCCTGTGGAATAAATATTCACCCTGTCTACACGCAGCCTGGAGTTTCTGAGTGAGGTCGAGAAGGAGAAGGGAGGGTATTCAGACATTGGAAAGAGACATAAATAAATAGATGTGATATACTGGTGATAACAGGGAGATTCTGAAACACAGAGGGGAAAATGAGAATTGCAAATAGAGAAACAGGGTAAGAAACTGAAAGAGCTTCAAGAGATGTAGAAGGGTGGGAAAGGGTAAGGTGCCCCCCCAAAAGTAGATAGTAAGCAACAGAGAAACAGAGAGAGGCAAAGCCAGGCAGTCCATCTTTCCCCAAGCCCAAAAGCTGCTCATTGCATTCCAATAAATCACTCTACTAAAAAGCTCATACAATGGATTGACCTTTGCATTCAGGAACAAGCAGTATTAAAAGAAGCATCACCATCTGTAACTTTGGAGATCTAACGGTCTGAATTAAAAATGGACAAAATCAGTTCAGCAGCAGAAGACGACCAGTAAATACTTTCCTCCAATGCCTGACTTGACTATAAAAAGGTTTGGCATTTTAGAGTTAAGCTTAAAGTACTGGCATTTCTCCTTCTTTTGACATTCCAAGAAGGAGGTGTGGTTGACCCCAGGTCCATTTATTTCCAAGGTTGTAGATCTCTCAGCTAAGACTGGCCCCATCTGCTCTTGGGTCAGCCAGCTGTTTATCTCAAAGTAACATATTTATTGCACTAATCACCCTAATAACTTACAAGAAAGCCAACATCATACAAGTCAAAAATGCTTTCTGTACTGTTAAATGTGTCAGTTCCTTTAAAAAGAAAAACCAAAAAAACACTACTATGATCCTTGGTTTCCTTGGCCAAAATCACTCTTCCGTGGGTACCTTTCAGTAATGGCAAGTGAAGGTTAACAGTGCTTCTAACTTTCCCCTTCCCTAATGCGTTAAAATTAACCCAGGTTTCCTTAATGATCCCTTCTCCAAACCGTTATTTGTAGCTGGTGACTGTGCCTCAGGAAACAGCAGCTCATTATGGTACGTACCACTGCCGGTGGCAAGGAGCCTATTGCAATGTAATTTAAAACACACAAGCACAAATCTGTCGGCTCCACTTCCAAACAATCCTGAAATCCTGCAGTCGGGAGAACATTTAACAAAAATGCTGCTTCCAGCAGTCTAAGAGAAGCTTCCCCAGACACGTGAAATATTTCTGACTGGCACGGAGTGCACCATTAAAGGACACTGTCACCTCAAATCAGCAGAAAAGGCGAGGCAAACGATATAGACACACATATAAATTAGAGCCCCACAAAACTTAACCTACTCAGAAGAAGCACGCTTATCTTAAAAACGAAGAGTGTGTGCTCGCCCAAGTGACACAGAAATGTTCTAAAGTAGTGCGACAACATTAAATCACTGTCTCCATTTCTCCCCGCGCATCACCCCTTCATACTCAAACCTCAGCACTCGGGCCGTTTATGACAGGACTGCAGTCTCCCACCTCTGCCTTTTTCTGATTTTCCAAGAGCACTTCCCAACATCCTCCCCAGCCCAGCCCCCTCTCTCAGCTTCAAAAAGGTTGAGGGGAGTTGCGACTAGAGAATTGGCAGGAATCGGTCCTCCCGCGGGGGAAGGTTGCTGGAGTTGTTCTTTGCAGTGACCCAAATTGCACAGAGCTTTTCGCTTCGCAGCGCTTGCGAGCACCTCCACAATCCTCCCGCCCCCCATCTTCCTAAAAGAAAGCCTAGCGAATTAAGCGGGAGGAATAACTTGGTATAACCATTTGAATAAATCACTTCAACTCACCTGGTTTGGGATTTTTCTCCCCACCCCAGACATAAACAGAAATGAGTGCGAATGAGTCACGCACGCAACGTATGGTGGTACGATGTCTTAAGTCCGAGGGCTGGAGTGAGTCCCTGCCCTGATGCCGCTGCTACTCTTAGCTCAGCTGGAGCGAGCGGCAATCACAAGCCCAGCAGCAGCAGGGGGGGCGGATAGACCGTAGCACAATGAATGCAGTGGGGTTTTTGCAATGACATCATCCCTCTGTCCACAAGGTCCGAATAGCCATGCTCAGGAGCGCTGCATTCTGGGAATTGTAGTCTTCTGACGGCCTGCTGAAACCCTGAGGCTATTGCCGGAACTACAATGCCCAAAATGCGCCTAGGTAGGACGCACCCAGAGCGAACGAAAGGAGTGAAGAAAACTCTGTCGCCATGTCAGGATTGCTGGGACGTTTCTGCGGAGCCGCGCTGAGGTTTTAGGGGGCGCGGAAGCCGAGTGGTAGTGCGTTGGGGACGGTGAGGTGGCGGGGAAGCCTGTTAGAGATCCGGGGGCCCGAACCTGGGAACCGGAGAGTAGAGGCTTCACCCGGCGACAAATATAGGGTGGGTCTGGCCGGAGACGGCATCCAGAGGTCGAGTGGGCCTCGTCCTCGCGGTCCTGCACGTGTTGCATAGGCCTCCTACGCCTCTTGCACTATTTTCTGAGGAAGGTATGAGGGAATCAGTTCATTTCTCGGCCCCGAGCATGATTTAGACCATTTAACAGGACAGTCGGGGTGGTTGGTAGCTTTGTTGGGACGCGGGGATGTCGGACGGCGACTTTCTCGCTTGTGGTCAGAGAGGCTTCCATCCATGGAGTTGGGCTCTCCCTTCCAAGTTTATTTTTAACTTTCTAAATTATTTTCCATCCTTCCTTACCCCTCCCCAAGGTTTCGGACCCTCGTTGGTTTTTTCATACAGAATGATTTGCAAAAGGGTCCAAAGAAATCGATGTTGGTAAGGTAGACGAGCACTTTGGAACAGACCGTGCTTTGCCACCGCAATTAAGGAAAGATAAGGAGAGACCTAAAGGAGAAATACACCCCGGTTTAAATGACATCTTTGTACCTTCCAGCCGAAGGAGGGAGATATTGAAGAGGGACTTTATTGATGGTTGGCGATCGGTTCCCGAGTAGCACGGTTTTTGGGTCAACCTAGAGTATACGGTAAAATACTGCAGAGATGGGATGTTAGCATGCATAACCAGCTTATTTACATTTGTGGTACTCTGTATTTACAACTACTTTAACAACTAATTTTTTTAAACTAAGTAACTGAAACCAAAATCACTTGTTACTTGTCTAGTATCTCAAATGAACTGTATTTTTAACCAATTGTGTTACTAAAACAATGCTCTTGTTTGTTTTTCAGAGGCTACACTGTGAAAGGATGGGAGATTTCTTTTCCTCCTGAGGGTGTCTGATGGGTTAAAAATGCTGATATACTTTGTGCTGTTTTTCTTTCTCTGTTCACTTTATTCTGAAAACAAAATTAACTAGTTACTTTGGGTCAGTAAGGTATGCACTTTACCTGTTAAGAGTTAATACAACTGTAGCTGATAAACAAATTCTCTTATCAAAGAAAGGCCAGGTACAATGATTACAAATGATAAAAACATGGTAGAAATAGTATCTTAAATGTATACAGATAACTACAAAAACAGTTTTATGAAGAATGATCTTACATGTCATGTTTCTGGGAACAAGTCACAAGATGAATGGGTTTGTTTCAGTTTTAAACAAAGGTAATACGTATTGGTTTCATTTGTCCATGAATACAACGGGAAAGGCACATGCAAATAATTCTGTCATTCCAAAATACCTTTGCAAGTAATGGTGGTAAGTATAGGAAAAGGGGGAAAAAAAAGTTTACTATTTTCTTTCTAACCTTCAATATAACTATAGAAGAGTTTTAAGCTTAAGAGACTAGACAGATTTATATTTAGGCTTAGTTTCAAATTCAAATTATTTTTAGGAGTTGTTTATTTAGGGTGTTTTTGTGTCCTATGTATAGTGAATTTTGTTCACTTTATATTTCTTTATATAAGCAATAACTTCCTCAATTTGAGTTACTGTGGATGGCATATTTGTGGGGGAAGAAGCTCCAGCAGATTTCTCAAAAATCTCACGTGTAAGAAGTGAGACCTGTGTAATGAACTGATTTCTGTAATGTGTCATGTGTTTGGGTAGTTTGAAGTTTTTGCAGCCTTATATCCTATGGACATCTAACTATAAAGAAATGGAATAGATCTAATTAATATCTACAAAAAGACTCCATGATTTAACCATTAACTTTTAGGGGGAAAAAATCTATACTTTTTTTTTTTTTTAGAAATTTTATTTGCAGAAGTAATTTTTGAGGAGTTGGTGATGTCAGCTTTTGAAACAGTAACTTCAGTGTCCCAGCAAAAACATTGGGTTAGGGAAACTTTGAAAGGTAGAATTAGGAATGCCTTAGATAGATACAGAAACCTACTTCATCTCTAAAGAGAATTATGACATTGATTTTTATTATAATTATAGGTAACTTGTTAAAGAGTTGTACTGAGTCAGTTGCTGTTAGAGCAGGGGTTAAGTATCAGGATCACCTGTGGAACTCTAAAATATATAATTATTACCCACCCATCCCTTCCAAATTCTCCAGGGTTGAAACCAGTTACTGTGTATTTTTTAAAACTATAGGTGACTATACAAGGGTAGGGTAGAGCTGTCTTTCACATCCCATATTTGTGTTTTCAGTGATATGTCACACTAGTAATAAGTTTTGTCAAAGACTTCAGGTTTATAACTAATACCCATACATGAATTTTGAAAATGTGTGATGAAGAACTCACCTAGGGATTAATTTATACTTGGTAGTTGGTAAGAGAGGGAAGTAAAGATCAGTTTTAGCCTTGAGAATACATACCAAAATATCTTGACTTAACCTGGATAGTTTGAGAGTAAGGGCTTAGTCTAATGCCAAGGAAGTGATAAAGAGACACATCCAGTAATGCTATGACAGAATTATGGTAAAGAAAGAAGTTTCTAGGTGGAAGCAACCAGATACTAGAATTTCCTGAAAGTATTTTTCAAATAACTCCCTGAAGCCTAATTTTAAAAATTTCTGATACTAGCATTCTTGATATTTGGGCACATGATAGGTAATACAGTATCTTTTTTTTAGTTCCAAATTTGACTTGAATGCTAAATTTGAGCTTTTTATACTCAAAATCCTGTAGCATTCTTTTAACCATATCTGCTAAAGAAAAATAAAACTCAAGAGAACAAGCATTTGAAATTTTTAAAGCAGCCCCCAGATTGAGACATATAAGGGGGTCTGTCTTTTTTGGAGAAAGAAGGTCCTCTTGGAGCTGGTAAGTGAAAACTCAACTGTAGTGTCTTGACCTCTGGCTTCCTTCGCACTGCTGCAGTTTGAAATTTTTTTTTTTAAAGATTTTATTTTAGAGAGGGAGGCAGGGGAAAAGAGGGAGAAAAAACATCCATCAGTTGCCTCTCGCAGGCCCCCAACAAGGGACCTGATGAGGAAATGAACCAGTGACCTTTTGATCTGGGAGATGACACCCAATCCACTGAGCTATACCAGTCGGGGCTGAAATCTAGCAGCACTCTAAACTTCAGTGATAATGGCCTCAAGGGTGTGGGAGAGGATTAAACAGAATAATCTATGTAAAGCATATAGCTAGGGCTTTGGACCAGATGTTTGCGCGTGCGATGTGTGTGTGTGTGTGTGTGTGTGTGTGTGTGTGTGTGTGTGTGTGTGTGAGAGAGAGAGAGAGAGAGAGAGAGAGAGAGAGAGAGAGAGAGAGAGAGAGTGAGAGAGTGTGTGTGGTTAGAAAATAGCCCCAGAGTACATAGAACCCCAAAGACAGGTATTACCTCATTTACTCTAAAACAGTAAGTCAAACGTACATGCCAGCTGTTACCAAAATACAGCTTCATTTCTTCCTATGATAGCAATAACAATTCTTTTCAGACCTTAACACATAAGGAATGTAAAATTCCCATTGTTGAGTTGTGTTATTAAGATTATTGTAGTGCTTGGGGTGGCTGAAGTTAAAAAAAGTAAAACTTGTGATAACAGATTTTGCTGTGTACCTCTAGCTTGCAAAAGGTCCACAGCTGATAGGATAGTTGACCCCTCTTAATTGAGGATTGCTGTAGTTAGTTATCTAGAAGAAAACGATCATCTAAATTATGAAAAATGTTAGAGGTTATTCCGTGCTTCACACAGTTCTAAAGTAATGCTTTTATAGTCCAAGCCATGAAGTTTGAGAGAACAAGCTATCTGTTGTCTGCCTTTCTATATCTATTTTCCAAAATAGAATCAGTTTTCTTACCTGTCTCAGAAAAGAAATGCAAGCAACCCAAAGGTGATGTAGACCCAGCAGTCACATTAAAATCATTCTAACCTGATCACAGAGTTGAGACTAGCAAGCTTAAGGGGAAAAAACACTTTACCAAAAGATCTTTTCAGGCCTCACCTTTGATGGAATTAAAAGTCTTCTACAGTGTACATTTCTGTAAGTGGACACAAGCATGTTCATGTTGCTCATGTTTTCATGAGCAGTTTCATGTTCAGCAGTTTCCTAAGGAAGATTTTTAACTCGTAAACTTTTTTACATTTCACAGTTTGAGTTAATATTCAGGAAAAGAAAACATGTTTTCTAGTCTTGTTGAGTTGTTTTTGTAGCAAATTGACATAATTTCAGCCTCTGTCTTTAAAATGCCAGTAAAGGTTAATACCCCAAAGTCAAAATTTAAAATCCAAATGTACACAGTTAATTATTAACCGGAGAAGTCTGCCTTCCTTAGTTTTTATAGGTTTGGGTAATTAAGGTGGCACCAGAAAATTTGTAAGAATAAGTATATGAAAATGAACTTAATCAAATATAAATATGTTCTTGAATATAGCCATTTAATAAACTCACCAGGTGATTCCTGTCCATCTAATTTCACTTAATAGCACTGAGGTGAAATAATTTACCAAATTTAGACCTCTAAGTGTAATGCCCTCTCTTATGTTCCTAATTTAGTTTTTCCATTGTGCTCAGTACCTCTTACTCTTTCTGAAATTCCAAGACACAGATGCCAAATTTTTTTGTCTCTGTGTGCATATATTCAATGAAGAATATAATCAATCACGTGAACAAGTATTGCTTAACGAAGGTGTGTAATAGTTTTCTTAGGGAAATGAACAAGTTACATGATTCATGTCTTCAAATGCATTTGATTAAGATACTTTTTAATAAACCCTGCAGTACTCTTATTTTAGACATCAAAGTATCAGTAATGGGTATTCCAACCAGTTCCAAATCCATTTCATTCTGTAAATATGGAATAATTACCAAATAAGGACAAAGCTCTAGAGGTATATGGTGACTGTGATCCATCAGACCATTAAACTCAATCTGTTTAGTGTCATTTTCAAAAAAAAGTACAGAATACTGGGTTACAAAAGGAGCCAATATTGAAATAATTATCAATTTTTTTGATACAGAAATATATATGCTTTATTAACTCACTAGTTAACAAGATCTGTCCCTGGATGTAATTATGCAGTTTCAACAGTAGTAGACAACATTTATTTCAAGTTGTCTACCTTCACTGCTAACACTGGTCTGTTGCCTACATTCAGATTTCATTAGAAGTTACCGAAAATAGAGATGTAATTTTTTTTTACCGCACCTAAAGTCTGATTAAGAACTTAAGAGACCTAATTCACTGAAACACTATGATGCTTTACCTCCTATAATTCAAAATCAGAATATACCATAAAGTGGATTTAAGGAAATTCTGGTATTTCTTGTGAGGATGTGCTTTTTAGAAAGTACTAAATTATCTGCTTTTGTTTAATTTAGAGGCAAGCAGGGAAAGAGGCTGCTTTGCTGTTTGAAAGTGTATTTATTATCCATGCTTGTCTATATCCACTATACATGGAACGTAGTAAGAGCTCAATCAAGAGTAGAATGAATGAATGAATGGGCTTTTTCATAAGGGGTTCACAATTTGGGAACACTAAATTATTCACCAAGGTACAACATGAAAAATGAAATACTATAGTAGGAATTAAATGCTTTATTTGCTGATTGGAAGGGGCTGTTTTGTAACATAGTCTCTAAATAGAATTAGCAGGATTAACATCCTCAAGTGGTCCCACTGTTGTGTGAGCTCCATGAGGGAAGGTTTTGTGTGTGTGTGGTTCATTTCAACTGATGTGTTACAAATGCCTACTGCAAGTGCCTGGTACAACCAACTCTTTCCTCACCTGATCAGACTCAAATCTGTGGTTCCTCTGTCTATAGACACTGCTTAAACATTTCAGCATTAACCTACCTCCAACTGTGGAAAGTAAAAATCCTTTCTTAGATGTTCACTAAGTGAACGAGAGAATTTCTCAGCAGAAAGCTAGTAACTCCTGCTCTGAGTACATTTTTAGCTTCCCTTTTTAAATTAAGGCACAAATCCGCTCAATGTCACCCATTAATAATTAAAGGAATTAGGAACAGAACCCAGGTGGTTGACTTTCAAAGTCTACGCAGGATCTGCAAACAGTATCTTAGGGCCGCCTTCCCCAACCGGTTGGCAGTGGGGTGGGGACAGGAGGCGGAGCTCAGGTTGTAATGCCAGTGAAGCTTCGCTTGTCCGCCACTCGTCTGTGTCCTCCAGTTTGTAGCAGGCTGCATCCCGGGGATGTTGGGGATCCCTGTTTTAGGCGAAACAAGGAAGTAAAATCCCAGACGTATTTTCCATTTGATCAAGGCTACAGATAGGGTCTTTCCCCCACATTTTACAGAGAGAAAACCATGTGAAACAGACCGCGTGGTGAAACAAAAGGTTCATAACAAACACGTTTTTTAAAAAAAGTTGCATTTTATGTTGCATTTTTCACTTTTTCCTTCACAATGTTTTTCGAATCTTTTCTACCCTCCCAAGAAAAACATTTCGAAGTTTCTGGGGTTTGTGTTGGTAACTTACAGCTGAAAGGATTTAATTCCCCTTCTACCCCTCGTCAATATCAGTGGGTATGTTTTCACATAGCTTTTTCAGAATGCTGTAAAGCAGCTTACAGAAAAAAACTGCTGCAAAAAAATGAAAGTTAATAGTGATTTTCAAGCTTTTTTGACCCATATGGGCCACGTTAGACTGATGTCTAATGCATAGTGCAGGTACATAGTATTTCAGTTCTGACTCTCAGGCACTAATGCTGGTCAATTCATAATTTAAAGAAGTTGAACTTCGTTTTACAGATGAGGAAATTGGGCAACTGGCAAGTATACCCTGGCCTAATCTGTGGTGATGCGTAACTACAGTTTTACTCATGCTGCTAGGTGTGAGCATTCATTTACTTCGCTGCAGAAATACTGTTTGGTAACAGTGTGCTGACCTTGACCCTGCTGGGGATGTTTCATAGTACGTAGGATATGGACCTTACTGCCATCCTAAATGTCAAGGATTTCTGAATTCTGCATCACACTGGTCCCAAGGGTTTAGGATAAGGGATTGTTGACCTGTACTTAGTTCCTTTCCACAAAGGTCATCTAGGTGATTTGGTACTTAGAAGCATAAACACAGTGACAGTGTATCCCAGATTTTACAGAACAATTTTCATTTTCAGTATTCTTTTTTAACTTGTAGTTTTTGTGCAGTCCACATGATTTATTTTGAAAATAATTATGGGTACCCTGCATCATTTATTAGTTGACCTGTAAAAGGTAGAACCAGTGGCTAATTGAGTGCCAATGAAGAGAATTAGAAGACCACCTTTAAAATTCACAGTGCACCCTAAAAGCTGATTAGGATGTCTAGGAAAGGACCTGACTTATTTCTACCTTCTAACTCCCTTGTAGCACAAAGTTGCAAAATGACTCGCTCATAGACCAGATGTTATTACTCCCTATAGGTAATATATTTCTGCCTGACATATACACAATAGACATTGCAGCAGTTGTTCAATAGATAAGTTGTTAAATTATCATAAAATTAATAGTAATTTCATTGCTTAGTCCTTTAGATTTACATCACCCCTTACCACCTGACTCTTAAGACAGATTTTGTGCTAGTGAAGTAGACTATATCAGTGAAGGAAATAGAACATTGCTTGATGAAGTTCTTCAAGATGGACAGGAAACTCCATTGGAATCCTTGATTCCCAAGTCAGAGAAGACCATGATATGTGAGAATAAAATATTTATTTATAGCTGGGCTTTGTGCCATGCATTTAATGCCATGACCATAAAGCCATTACTGTAACGCCTAAGTTTATCTTCTAAAGGAAGCCTGCAAAATTACTCCAAAATGACTTTAAGGTAACAATAATTACTGTTTTCCTTTGGGACCTAATTCTTAACAGATTTCAAGATGATGCAGATTTGCCAAAGGCTGGAGACTGTGTGTGTGTGTGTGTGTGTGTGTGTGTGTGTGTAATCTCCAAAAAGTCCATTTTTTCCATAAAAGACACATTTTTTATTTTGACCAATAACTTTATTGATTTGATATTTTGAGTATGTTGGCTATCTCCCCCGTGGAATAACTGATTGTTCTCAATGTCTCAATCAATTTCAGCTGGTCTACATGTCCAAGAAATCTCCAACATGAAACTTCACAAACCACTTGTGACACATTTCCATCAGTCACAGCATCTTTGTACACTGCACAAATCTTTTTTTGCATTTCAGTTGAATTTTTACCTTTCTTGAAATACAGCATAACATACTGAAAATGTTGCTTATTTTCTTCCATCTTCAATTTTAAAATGACTACACAAAAATTCACCAATTTTTATGTTTTTAAAAAATGCATGCTGGTATGACAGCTGTCACAATACAATCTAACAGTTGTTTCAAATGAAGCTAGAGATAACTAAGCACCACTAGAACCATCTTAAGGAATGAACCAAAAGAACTTTTTGGCCATATATATTTTTTCATTCTGCAATTAGGTAAAGCATTATTAGATAGACTATCTCCATCTGGTCTATTTTTCTGTCACTCAGTAAGGTTTTTCATCATCAGCCATAGTTTTATGAAGGGACATTAAAAGGTCTCCTGTTGTACACTATAGCACTAACGTTTATATTAGAACATTAAGATAGGTTGAAGGTTTCCATGATCAGCCTACACTCAGTCTTTCCCTACCTTCTGCCCTCTTATTTCCCACTTGTGTTTGTATACTATTAACTACATTGCAAAATGGCCACTAAGTTCACATTTCCTGTGCTTAAAGCAGGACTTTTGTTTCTTCAGATATTCACTGAGTATCCACTAGGTGTCAGATATACTAGGTAGATTCTGGGACACCAAGATAGCGACATACATGCCTTTAGGCTAACAGTCTTGTGGAAAAAAGGTGAGAAATAGATCTGTAAGCCAAAAAGTTGCAGTCTAATATACTCTATGGAGTAGGAGAGTTCCTGGTTTGAGATGATTAACAACCATCATTTCTAAAAATATCCACCCAATACGTCTGCCTCCATGACTAAATATTCACTAAAGTAATGTCATGTTTTATAAGACCACTATTACCTCTGGACAGGAAAACTAAGGGCCATTAATGGGCTATGAAATTGCTTTATTCCCCCCTCTTTTTAAAATGTTTTGTTAATTTAAAATGTTTAATACAGTAAGACATACTTTTGATGTATGATCCTATGAGTTTTAACATGCATAGTCATGTAATCACCACCATAATCAATATAGCAAACAGTTCCATTATACCCACCCCCAAATTTTCTTGTGCTGCCACTTTTATAATTTTTTGTGGTAAAAAAAATTACTTTTCAAAAAGTAATGTTTGAATGTTCCAGGTACAACTTGTCCTTGTTCAAAAAACATATTTGGGATAGTACCTTTTCTAATAAGAAAAGGTACCTCTTCAGAAATACAGATATCCAAGGAGGTGCTAAATTGTTATACCATTGTAAGTTATCTACACCTTAGTTTGTAGATCAAGCTGTTAAAAATAAGACTCAGAATAGGTAAAGGGTGCATGTGGCATATGTAGCGTGTATGTTAGGCTAGAAAGAGTATGGGGTCAGTGGCTGGAGTTGGCATTAGGGCCTGACAATGTGTTCCAAACAATGTGCATGCAATGATAGATATGGGTAGTGTGTTTTGTGTTTTGAATACTATTAAGGGCCCTGAGTTCTTAAAGATAGGGGGCACCAAAGAAAGAGGAGATGAGCCCTGAAGAAGGCTGGCCTTCATGTAACATTTGATCTGTCTTTATTTGAAGCTGCATAATTGAGATTCCAGTACTGTCTCTGCCGGTAACTTGTCTTGAAAAGTCACTTCCCCTTTCTGGGCCTCAATTTCATCATGTATAAAAAAATAAGGTTAGATTGAGTATGTTCCAAAGTCTAATTCAGTGTTCTCCAGCTACAAGTAAAACTCTGTGTGTGTGTGTGTGTGTGTGTGTGTGTGTGTGTGAGTGAGTATGAGTGTGTCCTCATTTTCTCTCCTCCATTTTTAACTAGAGAGACAGATGAGACAACCACCACCAAACTCAGCAAGCATTATGGTCTCTTAAAATTTCATGTAAGTTGATATCAGAAGTTGCAAAGTTTAGGCTCATCTGAACTAGGCTCCAGTGAACTAGCTTGGTAATGCCTCAGCCTTCTCATGTACAGAATGACTGAATATACTCTAATGTTCTTTGTAGTTCTCATATGTTATGACTATGAAACCTGTTAAATCTTACCAGTATTACTTCTCACTTCCTCTGTGTTTGCACCTGTTGTTCTAATTTTAAAATTTTTGGTTTATTTTTATTAGCCACTATTCATTTAGTAGCTTTTATGTGCCAGAACTTCGAATGTAAGGTATTTGACCTACAGTATTTAGGGACTTTTATACTGCTGCCATCCTTAACAGACATACAGATATGGTAAAATCACACCATGCTTCCTATTGCCATCCTGGATAACATATTTCTACAGCAAGATCTCCATTCAATGAATATTAAAAGTAGCACTAAGGAATGGAAGAACAGGGAGGATGTATGTGGTTTTAAATTGATAAGTGGAGGGAAATGAACTAACGGTTGAGGGCTAACTATGTGCTAGGCACTTCATACATGCCTATTTTTTTCAGGTGACTGAGATAAGCAGATAGGTAGAGGCATCACAAAGAGAGCCTGCTTCCCCGCCCCCTCCCCCGACTGGAGGACATTTTTTTCATTGCTTTCTGGAGAGAGGAAAGGAGAGAGAGAAACACTGATCAGTTGCCACCTGTATAAACTCGGACTAGGGATCAAACCCACAGCCTAGGTATATGCCTTGACCAAGAATCAAACCTGCAACCTTTTGGTTACAGGATGACGTTCCAACCAGCTGAGCCACACCAGCCAGGGTGAGCCTGCTTGTTTTGATAACAAAAAGAAAAAAACTATTTCATACCTTAAATAATTGGAATTATTCAGAACATTGTTTTTAATGTTACTCTTCACTATGACGGCACAGACAGCCTAGTGCCTCTGTGTAGAGTTTGGTGGATGTTTGTTGAATGAATAGGGGTTTTTCTTATATCCTAGAGTAGTGGTTTTTAGGGTCCATGAACCTTTTAAGAATTTTAGAAAGCTATGGACCCATCTAGGATGTCACCTCCTCCACACACACACATACACACACACACACAGAGCCCAAGTCATTCTCATCCTAACTACCTTCACATTTGTATCTGGAATGTTTTTAGCCTCTTTACATTCTCT